CCCACGCACGCACGCACGCACGCACGCACACACACACACACACACACACACACACAAACTTAGTTATTTTACACAGATTTCATTACGTAAATATTTGAAACTGATGTTGGGGTATGGGGTTGGTGGTGAGGTCGTTGGAACAGTTAAAAGGGACGTGGGGTTAACATGTCTGAGGGTGATGTGAGCAGAGGGGGGGGGGCGGGTGGTTTTAGGATTTTTTTTTTATATTTTTTTTTTTTATATTTTTTTTTACAATGTTTGTAAGCTGTATAAATAAAACAATAAACACAAAGCAACAATAGGAAACTGAATGACTAAAGATAAATGATGCGAAACAATGTGGGGACATGGGGGTTTTGGGGTGGGAGTCAAATTAATGTTGTTAAAAATGTATTTGGATAATACATCATCTTCAGTTTTTAACATAGTATTTCAACACAGGGGTGGGGTCGTGGGGACGAAGGGGATGCAGTTATGGGGGCAATATGATATTGGGATCATAAGGTTTAGTGGGCGGGGCGGGGAGGGTGTGATGAAAGGGGGTGTGTCTGTTAGGATGAGGCAGGCCAGGTAGCCAATGCAGTGTAATATGTTCTTTACGTTGTGGTGTTGCTAATTATGGTATATGTGTTTGAGTGCTGTCATTGTCGAATCGTCTACGATAAATCAAGTAAGTACGTGTCCCGTGAACTGTACCTTGTCGTGTTTTGCTTTTATTCTACTGTTCCAAAAAGTCTGTCTATAGATAGATACCGTCCTTGCTTTTTGCTCTAGGCCCGTCCTGTCTCTTTGTTTAGGGATTTTGTTTAGAGTTATAACTATATGAATGTTGAAGGTCTCGTTTTTTGTTATTTTGGTTTCTAGCGTCTTTTTCATGTTTTGTATGGTGGGGCATTCTAAATAGACGTGCATTTCGGTTTCTGGTGTGTTTTGTCTGCATAGTGGGCAAAAGGGTTTCTTTTGTTTTGCTAGGGGTGTTGAATTGTAGATGAGTCTGTATGTTATTTCCCTTGCTTTGGGTGCGATGGTTTTGAGGTGTAGGTTCATGAAGGTGTCTGTTGTGTCTGTTAGAGCGTATTTCCTACACCATTGAATTCTGTTATATAATGGGGTTGAAAGTTGAAGTTGTTGCACTAACTTTTTGTAAATGTTCTGTGATTTTTCGTGTAAAAGTTTTTCGATGTTTTTTTTTTGTTATATCTGTAAGCATTCTGTGTAGAAGGGACTGTGTTTTCCTCGTATGTGGTGTGGAGTTGTATTATTGATTTTTGTAAGTTTGTTGAGCTGATTGCCTATATAGTAGATACGAGAAAGTAAAAATTGCCGTCATCCGATCAATGCACTATCTTAACAGTTTGTAATTTTAATTATATTAGATACGAGAAAGTAAAATATGCAGTCAACACATGGTTGGTAATATGTTTAAATGTTAATTATTTTTAATTATACTAAACGTTTTTACGTAAATTCACTGTCTACGTATAATAAATAGTGCGTGTTTTTGCAAATAATAAAAATTAAAAAAACATTGCTGTTTAGCTATACAGAAAACGTTTGTTTTTAAATAATACTATTATCGTATTATATTGTTCAGTTTAATATGTTAATTATTATTTACCGTCTTTCCTTTGTTTGTTAATTATTTATAATTTCTTTCAATGTCCTTTGGTTAAACCTACTATCATATTGTTCATATTGATGATTAAATGTGTAACCCGAAGAAAGTCTACCCACCCCCCCCCCCTCCCCTGAACGAAATGAAATGCATTTAGAAAATGTATACTTTTAACAGTGTCTACTTGTAAGCCCAAACCCCCATCAACTCACCATGTATGGAAAAACAAAATATATTACATCAACATTTAATTACACATTTGCATTTTCAGGTTTGAAAATAACACGTTAATAACATCTTCAATGAATGAAAGTAGCTTGTGTATTTTATCAATGTATAAGTAAAACATCTTCAATGAATGAAAGTAGGTTACATGTCAGAGTAAGGTCTTTCTATTTTAAATGTGTATCAGTGTCGGGGACGAAAAGTGGCGCTCTAGTGAACCCGATTACATTATTGCAGGGGCGTCGTGTACAGCCCCTAGCTCGGTTTAATCGTCGAATGTCGTGTACTGCATTATCAATATTGTAGGGAGCTCCATAAAACTAACGTTTCTATTAAACCTCCCCTAGAGTGTTCTAATCAATTCCCAAATTTTTCATGGTGATCGGATTAACGGTGAATAGCAGTCCCAATATAATTTTAAACATTTTTTTTTTAATTGAGAAAACAAGACTGTTATAGATATAGCTGCTTACTTGCTTTTGATTATACATGTATTGTTGGTATAAGCCCAAACTTCTACTTTGATTTGTTTTTTGTTTTTTTTTTTCAAAGAAAGTTGAGGGCGACAGCTTGCGTTTGACTTCTGAAGAAATGAAATTCTCACTCAACGACGGATTTCCACCACATGTATTCTAATGTGTTCTTAGACAAACATAGGGTTTCTCAATTTTCAATTATCTTTCTTGATTATAATTGTAAAATAAGGGAAACAACATTTAAATTACAAGGCATATTAGTTATGTTAATGTGTCATAGTGGGCTAAAGTAATAATTAATCAAAATAAAACATTGATTTTATTAAAAGGGTGCGGGGTGGGGTGGCTGCGTTTCACTATTGAAGTCAGCATAAAAATGAAAGAAAGTTCAAAACACCATTAGGTAGCTATTACGCGGTGACATACGGATTAAAAAAAATTAAAGCATTTTCAAAATGTAAACAATATTATTCCAAAATTACAACTAAGATAGTGGAGAGTAAATTAAATAAAGTTTAACATAGGGTGAGATTGATGCATGTTAAGTATATACTTTCATTATAGGTTTAGATAAGAAAGAACATTAGTTTCATTAGGAGGCGAGAGGGTGGGATGGCTGTGTTGCTTGAAATGTTGGGCTGGGTGCAGTAGGCCTATTGTGTTTAGGGCGTTGATTTCATTGCCGAGGAAACAAAGGTATATAACTTCTCGTAGAGTATGACGTGTGTATTTTAGCTGTTGTTTCCCTTTGACCAGTTTTCTAGACTAGTTTTGGGCTGATCTTAATGTTTGATTTTAATGCGTCCAGTGTCTTTATTCTTCCTCTCAGTCGAGGTAAGTAACATTACGAACATGAGCATATAGTATATGTTGTTAAAAGCATACTACTAAAAACTTGTTTACATTATTAAAAAGCATAAAATACTTAATTCATGCTACACAATTATAATATTCTAAGATAAACCATCGACCATCAATCATTAAATTTAATCGCGGAAAAAAAAGCAATAAACATTCAAATTGTCAGATATGGGAGACGCCACGTGTATCAGACATGCGGCTCCACAAGACACTGGACCAACCACTGGACCAACCACTTCCACATTTTAGCCAAGACACACCACAGCAAGACACACTACAACAAGACACACTACAACAAGACAGACTACAGCAAGACACACTACAACAAGACAGACTACAACAAGACACACTACAACAAGACACACTACAACAAGACAGACTACAACAAGACGCACTACAGAAAGACACACTACAACAAGACACACTACAGAAAGACACACCAGCAACAGCTGCACCGGTGCATGCAGACACACCAACAACTAAAAACGAAATGGCAACATATCAACATACAGCACCAAAACCGAACAACAACATTGAAAACAAGCTAACACCAAGGAAAAACACGACAGCAACAACGTCAGATTTAACCAAGTCAGTGGTAACGAAGGAACCAACAAACTATATGGTAGAACAGGCAACAAGCTGACAAGATGTTTCTAAAGAATTCATCTCAGAAAGTGACAATCCAGGAACGATATCAAATTATCAACTAAAAGCACATCAAGTTACTAATCAAATCTTACAGAATTAGTAATTTGGCAGCTTGGTTTGGAAGCGTGTGGACGTGGGAGGGGGTCTAAAATTCGAAAATGTATGGTTGACCCCTTAACCTATTGTCTGTTTGTGTAGTATATTATGTATGAAAAGTCACAATTGTACTCTTGTGTAGCATATTATCTATTGGGAGGGTAGTGACATACATTGTAGGACCTAGAAATGAAGATGTATATAAAAACCGGAAAAGATAAAAAGAGGAAATTATGTAAATCATCAAACCTTTGGTTGTTTCATCGTTTAGTCATCATGACACCATCATTAACATTTCATACTTATAACAAATATATGTGCGTTATTTTACTGTCTATGTTTGTTTAATACACGTTGTTTCTTTAAATTTCTTAAAGCTTAAAATTAAATTTGAACTACTTTTTGTTTTGACTTTTAAATTCTATATATTGCAGATTATACAGTTCAATCTGTTAATTACAAAAATATGTCTTTTCTTTGTTTGTTCATTTTCTGAAATTATAGCAGGTATTATCTCCCTTACTCTAATTCTAAAATGAGACGACTATTAAAACATTTGCCTGTAGGCAGGGGCGGAACTACAGTGCCGCCAGACCCCGCAATGCGGGGGGGGGGGGGGCAGACCGTTTAGTGGCCCATTGCCGACCATAATCAATTTTTTTATAGTTAAAAAAATAATTTTCTAGTAAAAAAAAATATTAATACAGTAGTGATGTTCTACAGTAGCTAACACATGCTGTTTCATAAAGGAAAAAATATATAGGCTACATGACTTGTAGTGTGAGGGATAGGCAACCGTTCAAACCACTTCCATGACTTATTTCCCTTTTTTAAATAGTCAAATATGTGTGCTCTTAAGAAACTTTAAATAGATTTGCACTAAACAAATTAAAAAGCAATCACTTCTGTGAAATAGTATTTAAAAAGTACATAATAAAGAATGACATAGTATAAAAAGGAGAAGTATTAAAAACTAATAATATAAATGCTAAAAAAACATAAAAATAAACATAAGGCGAGAAACCATTACACATACAAATCTTTCATGCTTCATATTGTTTTGACTGGCTTGGCAACTATTTCTTTGGCTCAATAAAACCTGCACAAGCCGGATAACTGGATGGTAACTAGTTTGCACACCTTATTTTAGTCTAGTTCAGGGGTCGGCAACCTTTTGAAGCAGAAGAGCCAAAAGTTACAATTTTCAAAATTTCTCTTGTTTTAAAGAGCCACCAACATTTTTTTAAATTCAAATATTTTATTTTTTTATTAAGATTATTAGTATTTGTTCAAGGAGCTGGAGAGCCGCATCTTGATATCAAAAGAGCCGCATGCGGCTCGCGAGCCGCAGGTTGCCGACCCCTGGTCTAGTTCTTGTGCCATTTTATTTTCTCCCTTTGATTATTATATATGCAATTGATGTTCATTGTTCATGTCTTTGATGCTGAGTAAAATCTATCAAATATATTATTATTACTGAAAAAAAATGAACTGGATAGTGACCTACTTACCTGCCATATTAAGAGATTCAAGCAATGACACAGCCTGGTTCAAACATTTTGCCAGTTGAGTTCCTTCAGGGGCATCTGTCATCTGGGTACTAAGCACTACATTGATCCTTCCAACAAGAGGGCGAAATTTAGAGGGAATGGACAACCAGGTATTTTTTCCCATGATAACTGCATTCTTTTTTTCAGCATCTTGTGTTCTTAAAGTTATCTGTTTAAAAAATGACATGTCGCTTTTTAAACGCCATGGTAAACGACCTTCAATGCCTATACCATTGTTATTGCAGGCAGCTACTATAATGTTTAGCTTTGGCATTGTTTATTTAAGTTACAATTATATCGCAAAATATGTAAATTCCAAAATGGAAATTTAAATCTTTAGCCTGATTATGGGTAGCTCATCTTGTTTTCTCCATCCACAATCTAATTTTTTTTTTTTTTGTTTTTTTGTTGTTTTTTTTTTTGCACAGATATCTTTTATATTTATATGTATGATGAAGACAGTGTCGAAACTTATAAAATAAAGAATTAAATTAACAAGTCTTTCACAGTAGGCCTACAGACAATATCTTCAATGGCTAAAATTTTACAGTGAGTTAAAATAAACTCTATCTATTTTTTTTTTTTTTTTTTTTTTTTTTTTTTTTTTTTTTTTTTTTTTTATTAATTCAATTGTTTTAAACATTTAAATCAGTAATAATAATATATTTGATAGATTTTACACAGCATCAAAGTCATGAACAATGAACATCAATTGCATATATAATAATCAAAGGAAGAAAATAAAAGGGCATAAGAACTAGATTAAAATAAGGTGTGCAAACTAGTTTCTCTTGACTGCTTAGTTTAGTGTGCTGCGGAGTCAAAAGTTCACATTGTAGCCACCCATGGACAGAAATAGAAACGACCGTGGGAGAAGTGTCTCTGAAATACACATACTGATCTATCATTCCAAAACTTTCCATGACATAAAATTGACCCTTGGCAATGAGGGCACGCTACCTTGAAATATCCGCCAGTCCGGTTGAGTGGGGGGGGGGGGGGAGTGTGTGTGTGGGGGGGGGGGGGAGGGGGGGGGTTTGATGTGTGTATCTTTTTCTACCATTCAGGTTTTGCATTTTAAAACCCGGGAAACAGAAGACTGTTCTAATGTTAATTTACTTGGGGGGCTGATCGAGTGATGTTTGGCTTGAGACTGTCTAAATTAAAATTAATACTTTATTTATTTCTTTCCTGTATATTTCTTTTTTCTCAGTTAAGTGAGAGTTCCCAGTCTATGTCTTAGCTTTGCTTGAAATATTTCTTTTAACTCGATGTCCGTGTATTTTGTGAAAAAATATCTGACTTTATTCCAAATTTGCCATATAGTCGATCTATAAATAGCCGTTGCTACTAGTCTGTTTTCGTCTTCTATTGTTTGTCTTGTCGTGTTAATTAAATTAAGTTGCAGTTATATTTTTTTTTTTTTTTAAATACTTTTATTTTCCAATTTAAAACAAATACAGAAACATTCCACGCCGTTTGGGTGAATATTTGCAATATAGTTACATTGATGTACAGAGTATAGTAAATAAATAGCGAAATATGTAAATGAATACAAAAGATACATTGAATTTAAAGCTTGTTGGTTCAAAATTTGAAAAGAGGCTGGTTTGTAACATGTTTGCCAACAAAAGTGGTGGAAGAGTATAAAGTATGGAAGAATAGTCGAAATCAAAGCTGGTTTATATGGATTTCATCTCATTATGTACAATAAACATAGTAAATACCAAAGAAAAATGAATAACCAGTAGAGTAATCACACACACACACACACAAATTTGTTGTTTTACACAGATTTCGTTTACATTTGTACAATAGTGAATTACAAAAATGGATCAATAGGTAAATGATTTTTTTTTTTTTTTTTTTTTTTTTTTTTTTTTATTTTATCAGTAAAAATAAACTATCTAAAATACTACAACAGTAAATGGGTCATTGTGTTTAAGCGACATTTAAAGTAAGCGATCCACTTTGTACTAAATACATTTACCTAATTGTTCCGTGTATCTGTGTTTATATTGGCCAACATTTTAATTTCTATTTAAGACATATCTCAAATTTGAGAATAAATTGAAACGTTCATTATTTTTCTTATATGTAATTCAGCAATATTTTCTTGTTGAATTTAATATTTTAAGAAAAATATATATTTATTTAGTTTGTTTATTTTTGCAGCTGTATTTATAAATTACCTCCCTTATATCGTTTTAAATTGAGGTGAATATATAGCCAAAGGTCTCTATGTCGTGAAATCAAATAGTTTAATTGAAATAATTGTACTCGTGTCAACCATACCAACCTATTGCACATATTATATTTGTATCCAGCCAAAACTTAGTTCTAAAATCTGACCTTATGTTCATAACATGGAGATGTACTACATCTAGATCTGATTAATGGCGACAACATGGATAGGTCTTACATTTAAATCATGCGCTACGTTTGTACAAGTATTGTGTTTGTAATTTATCTTTTAAATTATTTACAGCAACATTAAAACACAATAATATTTGACATGCCAAAATGTAATAAATATTTATTAAATAATTAAAACTAGTCTAGGCAGATTGATAGGACAAATGTATCTAACCATGTTATTTGCATATTAAACAATAAGGCTAATATTCTTATATAACACTATGGGGATGGTAAGGGGTCTTCCATAAATGACGTCACGTTTTTTTAAAATATTTTTACCCCCCCCCTCCCCTCCGTCACACATTGTCACAAAAAGCCCAGATGACGTCACACCTCAGTCTACAACCCCCTCAAAATTGCAGTTGAATTTTTTTTTAAACATCGATATTGTTCCAAAATCTTGTCTGAACTATTGTATAAGTATGTGTATACGCATGTATAATGATTTAAATATTTATTTTTTCTGCAGAATGTATTTAATTTATTTACCCCCCCCCCCCCCAAACATGGTTTAACATATACCTTATTACGATTCTCAACCAAACCGTTTTCCTCAGGCATGTATATAGCAACGTTGAGTTAATGTAACTCTCCCCATTCCCATAGTCAACCTCATGGTAATTGCTTTAAACGGTGCTCAGATAATACTAACGATTTGTATCTATATTCGTTTATACATTCAGCTGGATGTGGCAAGCTTTCTTTACCATTAGCAGATATACGTCATGGTGTCACCCCCCCCTCTCCCCACCCGCGTCTGGATTTGTCCATTTTGCTCTTAAAAGAATATCTAATTCACTCTAATTAATCATTTAAAGTATCGATTTTGTGTATATATTTTGCTTATTTTTGCCTTGGTGTCACCCCCTAAATGGTGTCACCCTGTGCGGTCCGCAGCCCCCTCGCTACGACACTGGTTACTAACAACCGGATCAAGTGGACTCATATTTTGTTGAAAAGACACATCAAAACACTCATCAAACGTAATATTTTACTATTGTTGAATGTGTCGATGTGGCAAGTTTAATCATTATTCTAAATATAAACCATTATTTTTATCATGTGACGCATTATATATATATATATATATATATATATATATATATATATATATATATATATATATATATACATGTTTAATCCAATGGTTTCTAAAGCATGTCCATGTTATGCTATACGTGTGAAATCCAGTGGATTCTAATTAATGTCCATGGTATAGGATACGTGTGTAATCCAGTGTTTTCTTATATATGTCCATGTTATATGATAAACATGTAATCCAATTACTTCTAAAGCATGTCCATGTTATACGATACGTGTGTAATCCAGTGGTGTGGTTTCTAATGTAAATCCTGGCTAGTAGGTTTTGTAACAATGTTTCACGTGGGGGAAGTTAGACGACGGGTGTTTCTAAACCCTTTGTATGTTGGCCGACGAAGGTAGCGGTTTCTGCTGTTTGATTATAATATCCCTTGCAGAGTTAAAGGTAATAACGTGACAACTGGTAAACATGGGTTGCCATATTTATAATGGACGATTAAACTTGGATGTACTTCCCTTATTATTAGAAAACTGTCTCACTTAATTTTAAATCAAACCATTTCAAATGTATCATTGCAAAATATATCAATCATGAGACAACAAACCACACAGACATAGGCTCAAACTAATTTCTGGCATGAAATAATTGAGTTTTAAAATGCTTTAATCTCATTTATCCCGCCTTTGTTTATTTTATTCTCTACGCAGCAGTCTGTGTTAGTTACTGTAGAACAATCACTGCTGTTGTCGATTTGTTTTTTTCACTGGCGGTGTAGTAGTTCCTCCATTGTAATTAAATTTATTTTTTTTTAAACACTGCGCTCTCCACTAGCAACGGACACTGGAAGTGTTAATAGTAAACTCAAAGAAAGCAACAACATTTGGTTTTACAACGACGTGTCATGGGTTGATGACTAAATCAACTTTAAAATTAGATAATTATATGAAATGTTCCATATTAAAAGATGTAGATTAAAATAATAATTATCTCATTATATTTTCAGAGGCGTGGCTTGGTGAGGGCAGGTGGGGCGGCCGCCAAACGTGGTAGATAATAATATAAAACGTTCGTTACTGAATTATATAGAAATAAAGAATGTTGAATGCTACTTGGCATTACGGACTTATTTCTTTTCTATATCAAATGTGGGACACCAAATATAAAAAGGCAAAGTGACAGGTAAAAGGCTCCCCGCCCGGTCCAAATGAGGAAAGGGGCGCGCATTTTTACCTACGCGAATAACTATTAATAGGCCTAATTTGAATAGGGGGCGCCACATTGATAGTTCGTCCTGGGCACCGAAATAGATCGCTGCGCAAAGTTCTTAATTATTATGGCGATTACAAATTTTCTGCCCACACCCTCCCCATATAGATAGCGCCCTAAACGGCCGCCTAGCTCGCCTTATAGGTAGCGCCGGCCCTGGACATATACCAAATAGCCTTCATCTTCATAATCATATACGATCTGGATCCTCACATCACAAATTGTGCTGGCATACGGAAGCAAAGCATCACTCGTATCAGGGCTCATACCACAAGGAAGCTTTTGTTTGGGGTGTCCGTTTGTAGAGGCATCACTGAGCTTGCATTTTTTATTTATTTATTTATTTTTTTTTTTTTTTTTTTTTTTTTTTTTTGCATTATTTAATTATTTTTGTCCCTGACAGGAGGGATCCAAAATTAAATTTTTGTTTCGGAACAATCAATCTATACATTAAATCTAAAGAGATCGTTGATAAAACACATATTGTTACGCTTCGCTACTGTCTTTAGAATAAAAAAAAAATCGGAATTTAAAATTTGTTTTGAGAA